CAGCTGCTTAGCAACTGGATAAAATTGTCACAAAATGCTGGCAGTGCCCTCCCTACTAGGGCAGGAGCCGGGCTATGTCCCTGGAGGAGCTGTCTGCCAGGCGAGGTGGCCACACGGTGCTCATGGTGGTGACCCTCATCCCTGTCCCCTCTGGCAGTCTGTCCCAAAGGTGAGAGGGAATTTGGCCCTCACGTATGGCAAATGCTGCAGTGCAGGCAAGGCATGCAGGCTGCTCCCCCCAACATGGACACTCTTGATCACAACACCCTGTTGGGTCTGAGTGGATAAATGCTTTTTCCTCTCTGAAAGACCAGGGAAAAAAGTACACTTGGAGTATTCTCATGAATTTCCTGAAAATGAAAATATTCACCGTTGCTGACTCTACCTGGGGGAAATGGGGATGAATACACCGACTTACTTTGGTCCTGGGCATTTTAAATAAAAACAAGGAAAAAATGTCAATGAAAAGTTATGGCTATATATTCTTTGGGCCAGAAGAAGGACAGGCATGTGACTAGTGCCTGCTGCTGTCCTTGACTTGTTTGACTTCTCTGTAGATAATACTCAAAGAGGTGGCCAGGCTACCCAGGAAGCCAAACCCTGCTCAGTGGAGCTGACTTCCCTTGAAGGGCCATGCAAAGGGCAAGGGATGAAAATTAATTAGAGTTTTTAGGAGAGCAGTTTATAACACACTTGCCCTTATAAGTGGCTGACGTGCAAAAGATAGTTGTTGGAAATTGCTGACAGCTTGTGTGTTTACCTCAATCAGCAAGTATTTGTAATTACTTTTAAAAATGTTGAAGTTCCAGCCTTACTGGGAACATTATGAACTGCCCTCAGCACTCTGATGTGCTTCCAAAATATATGCTGCCATGAGTCAAAAAGCACAAAGACTCAAATATTTCAGGGGAGAGGCAGGGAAGAAGTGGGGAGATGATGCACTTGAAATTAAACTGATTTAGATAACTTGGTATCTAGTCACAAATATTTAATTCTCATGACTGGAAGAAACCACAACTGTTATAAATGAGGTGAACTCCACATCACTTCTAGCATTTCTCCTGCCTGACGCCACAGCACCACAATATGGAGGCTTTGCCAGCAATGGGATGGCTAGGCTTCACTTTTTTTTTGTTTCCCCCCTTCTCTATCCCTACAATGCCTCATGCACCCCCTGTGATGATGCATGAGTTTCCAAACCCCCCAAAAAACTAGCGGGGATTAAAACAGGCCTGTGAAAAAAATTACTATTTTCTCAGACAAGTATTGCTGCTGAAGACTCAGCATTCCTGAGCCCTTCCCTGGGAGATTTTCAAAGCAGAATGGGATAATTCTGCCCACACTTGTGCCCAAACCATTATTGACAGTTCCTCTCTGCTTGCACAGACAAATGGCAGAATGCCATTTCACTATTTTTCAGTTTCTTTACATTTTTATGTCAGTTCTTCATGGTAGTTTTCACTAACTGTATCCCTTCTGGCCTCAGCAACAGATTGGGCAGGAAATCTTCAAGACTGGAAAACAGCACCGCCAAATCTACCATCAGGGTGGTTAGGGTGGTGGAGGTGGCTGAGCTCAGGACAAACTCCAAATGAATCCCCTCTCAAAAGGCTTACGCCTTGAATTGAAGTTGCTCCTTTAAACTCAGAAATGTGTCGTGTCTCTGAGCACTGCCCAACATCTTGGGAAGCTGAGGCTGCTGAGAGGGCACAGGGGAGCAGAGGAGAGACAACCAGCACCAGGGCAGCAGCCAGCCCCCACTAACATCTGGCCTGAGGCTATAGCAGCAGGTTTTAGAGAGAGATTTTTGGTTCTGTGAGGGGGTGGGAGAGCATGCTCAGATTGCAACCCTGTAGCTAAGTGATTTGTAGTTTTTTCCAGTAGTATAATTATGAAAAATGCCTCTCATGTTCCCCATTAGTGTTGCTATTAGCAGACAAGCAGGGCTCCCAGCATGAGCCAGTTCTTGCTAACAAGGTCTGTGTGTACCACATTAGGGAACGTACCACTCACACAGCTTTCAGAGCGCCAAAAGTGATTTGCTATCACTCCTGCAATGGTACAGGGCCAAACATATCTAAATCTCATGTCAGAAGGCAGCAAGGTCTAACTTTAAATTCAAGATCCTTGATTAAAAGCAAAGAAGACCAGCAAGCCCAAACCCTTGTTTCTGGGCACTGAGTTGCCCTCCTCCTCAAACACCAGGTGAGTGCAGTGCTGAGAGGAACTCATATCACTCATATTTGGATGGGGCTGTGAAGTCAAATGTCTCTCGCTCACCCACTCACACGAGCAGTATAATAGCAGACCAAAAAAACCGTACCAGGGATTATATAATCCTCCATCTTCCCATGCACTTAGTTCTAAGGTTACTTTTCCCTTTTTAAGGTGGGCCTTACTCCAATGGAGAAAGAAAATGGTCTAGGGGTCATATGACAAGGGAGAGCAGTTGCTGTTCTTCACCTTGATTTTAGGAAGGTTTTCAGCACAGGCACCCATAATACCCTTATGGCCAAAGTGGTGAGTGAGATAGGAACTGCTCTGCAACAGACTCTGGGTGGCCATGGGCCAGCCCGGTCGTATGCACGGGTTTTCTTGTGCTTACCTCTCCTTACATGCACCTCTGCTGTGGCTGTGGGTGTTGGGTGAACCCCAGAGTAGGATGGGGACTTGACTCTCTGCGGCGAGCTGGCTGCTCAGGAAAGAGGCTTGATTTGTAAAGAACTCAGATGTTAGGTCTCCAGTTCTTTGTGATACAGTCAGCTGGTAACTGCTCTGAGTGGGCAGAAAACACCTCAGGGTGGTTTTTTTCTTAAATGCATTAATTTTCTTCTAAACGCAGAGGAGATTTTTACATGTGCCTCATTGCTCCCACCTCAGTATTTATCACTTTCTTATATCAATCCTGATTCCACCAAGACATTCCCAGCTCTGTGTAGAGGAACGGAAAGTTACACTGGTGACGCCAGGCATTGAGACATCTCTTTTCTTCTGCATAGCTTGTTAAGGGTGCTATATTACAACAAATTTGTATCCACATCTAAGCTCACTCATGAACCAATTAAGGCTCTGTGATTTTGTTTCAAGTATGTGGCCAAATGTTTATAGGACATTCTAGATTTTAATCTAAACTTTCACAAATTTAGACAGCTGCCTCCAGTGCTGTCAAAAGGGCATACAATCAGCATATCTGAAAATCAATACACCTCATGGGGCTGAGTACCTCGGTTAATCAAACACTGCAACCATTAGCTTTTGTTCAGCTTCCAGTTAGCTCCAGAGCATTTTCAACATAGTTACAAGATTACAATTGTTAGGAAAAAAAGAAAGTGGGTATTTTAAACATTATGATTCCTATGTTTTTTCACTGTTTGAACTTCACCTTTACTGCAGCTTGATTTTCCTTCCACAACTGCCTATTAGGTCTAAATCTAGAGAAAACAAAAGCCTGGCTGTCTCAGTGATCCTGGACAGTAGGGAAGGCAAGGCTATTCTAGGGACATCTGTTTCACTGCAAGAAAGGTTTTAGAAAACAAATCCAGACAGTTGATTCATTATAAAATAGACATAAGTTATGGAGATAAAAATGGAAACAAATCCTATGAAAACCTCTTAAGTCCCTGGCTACTATTACTGTTATATTTTAAGTCAGCACTGGCTACCCACATCACATGAATAATGCTATGTAAGTCACAGATGCAAAGCAGCAATAGTTGCAGTGATCAGGGCATTACCAATGGGTACATTTAATTAACCTAAAATTATTACAGCTGCTCTTTGGGAGCATGGTTGGTGTGGGACACAGTCTCAGACTGCCTGGATGAAAATGTCCCCACACAAGAGATCACTGCCTTAGGTGCCACGTGTTTCTCTGAAGATGAAGGCAAGCTGTGTGCAACTCTGCAGGGATTGGCTTGTGGGACATGCTTTGGCCACAGAGCAAAGTGTGCAGCAGAGGAACTTAGCAGAGAAGGGACTAAGGGAAGATGAGATGCAACCAGCTGTATGAGGTTCAACAAGACCAAGTGCCAGGTCCTGCACTTGGGTCACAACAACCCCATGCAAAGCTCCTGGCTTGGGGAAGGGTGGCTGGAAAGCTGCCTGGCAGAAAAGGACCTGGGGGTGTTGGTTGACAGCTGGCTGAATGTGAGCCAACAGTGTGCCCAGGTGGCCAAGAAGGCCAATGGCATCATGGTTTATATCAGAAACAGCATGGCCAGCAGGACCAGGGAAGTGATAGTCCCTCTGTACTCAGCATTGCTGAGGCCTCACCTTGAATAGTGTGTCCAGTTTTGGGCCCCTCATTACAAGAAGGACATTGAGGTACTGGAGTGTGTTCAGAGAAGGGCAACAAAGCTGGTGAAGGGTCTGGAGCAGAAGCCTTATGAGGAGCAGCTGAGGGAACGGGGATTGTTTAGTCTGGAGAAGAGGAGGCTGAGGGGAGACCTAATTGCTCTCTTCAACTACCTGAAAGGAGGTTGTAGTGAGGCAGGTGTGTGTCTTTTCTCCCAGGTAACTAGTGACAGAACAAGAGGCAGTGGCCTTAAGTTACACCAAGGGAGGTACAGATTGGATGTCAGGAAATACTTCTTCACTGAAAGGGTCATCAGGCAATGGAATGAGCTGCCCAGGGAGGTGGTTGAATCACCATCCCTGGAGGTGTTTAAAAGATGACTAGATGGGGTGCTTAGTAGTGGACACGTATGGTTGGACTTGATGATCTCAGAGGTCCTTTCCAACCAGGAGGTTCTATGATTCTATTTTTTCTGTAAATTGAGTCTGTGATGAATATCAAACCTTAGCTTAAACATCCTTCTAAGGAAGCCTGGACCAGGGACCTCTGTCATAAATATTCAAGGATTAAGTTGCATTCATACATTCCCTAATCTTCCTTTGTTCTCAGTCCACCAGACTCCAGTTCTTGTGGCTATGACAGGGAACTTGCTATGTAGCCACACAGCATGCCTGGAAACAAATTCCAAACTGAATGAAGTTTTATGCAACCTTACATTTTCAAAAGCACCTTACAGTAATCTGTAGCCAAGCAGCAATAAAGACTTTTAATCACCATAGTCTGTGCTGTGCTGAAACGAAATACAATCCTATTTCATAAAAACCTATGGTCACTCAAGGACATCAGTTTCAGTCTGCTTGAGAGGCATGTGTGTCCCGTCCAAATGCCTCTCACAGTAACAAATCCAGTATAAAGCTTTATCAAAAATAAAACCAAAATGTTATCTGACTGTTGCACTCATCAACAGGGCTGGACACCAGAAAGGATGAGCAGCATGTATGTTCCTCTGCATGAAATCTCCTGGTAAAATTAGCATGTGAAGGGGACCTCAGCTGTTGGGGCAGAAGTCTCATCAGCAATGTTGCAAGAAACTCCTGGCATCCAGGTCAGACTTCTTCAGATGTTCATTGCAAGGTTGATAAACTAACATAGGAAGAAAGATAAATTTTACAATAAATTATTTCAGGTCCCTCTCCTTTCCCCTCCCTTTCCCCAAATGAGAGGTGTTCAAAAGCAGAGCCTTGTTCTGAATTGAGTGCATGCAGGGAAGAGGACCTTTGCTCACTAGGCTTTTATGTTCTGTCTCCAAGCACTAGATGCCAATAACAGCGGTGATTTTGTTTGCATCCCAGCAGTCCACATGAGCTCCCACGTTTGTAGTGCCAGGGAATTCATTGCGCTTTGCCCCAGGAAGCTTTGGGTTTGTGTAAAATGAAAAACAACCCACATAAGCAACAAGGATAAGAAAAGAGTACAAGAAAATTAGAAGCCTGTGCTGAGCAGTGAGAGAAGCAGATGATGGACGTGCACAGGAGGGGCTGATCTGAACTCCTGGGGGGTTCAGGGAGAATGAAAGACCCCCCTGTCCCCATCTGCTGCTTTCCCTTTCCCCCACTAAGAGCTGGCACCCAAGGGAGGAAAAAGCAGAGAATCTAGAAAGGGGGATGGGAAGCTGTCAATCTGCCACAGGGCAAGGAAGGAAGGAAATAACACAGAGGAGATGTAATCAGTTCATGCACTGTACAATCCCAGCCCTGCTGAAACCTATGGCAGATGCCCCCTGCACTCTCACAGACATCAATGTCACCTGAAGTGTCATGCAGAAATACTCTGGTTCTTACAGGAAGACAAAGCTCTAGAGAAGCCCCATCATTTTGTCAGTGTTTATGAAGCTGTATTCATACCTCGCCTATATTCAGGTTAATGAACTCCTTGTTTTTCACACTCAGTGCTTGGAACACTCCTGAAATGAAAAACAGGACACCAGTGCTATAAATACACCTCATTCATATTAATACACGAGCTCCCCATCCCACAACGATGGGTGGCCGTGCCAAGGAGAGGGAGGGCCTGGCGCAAAGGCAGATTGCTTAGGATTGCTTGGTGGTGGTAGCTGCTCTGACAAAACAAAGTCCTTGCAAGAGGAAATGTCTTGCAGACTTAAGGCCTTTGTGCAAGTCTCACCTCAGGACTTGACTTAAAGAGGGTGTCCTGAATGTGCTAAATAGTCAGTTTGGATAATACTCCAAAATCAAGCCAAGCAATTTACATTTCTTTATATATCTTATTTAACTTTTATCTCTCAGTAGTTTAATACTTCTATTGGCACAGGTCAAACCAGAAAGTAAAGAGAAGAAGAACAACAACAAAAAATTCAGTTAAGAAAGTTGATTTTGCTTCTCATAGAGTGAGTTGCATTTGATTTTAATTTGGAGCCACACTAATAATAATTTTAGCATTTATCCAGCCATTTTACCTATCTCTGCTACTGCTGCTCTGGAATGGGAGTGACAGTGCGCATAAAAGAACAGAGACCTAGGGTGCCTTGACGTATAGGGAACCGTATCTTCAGCCAAAAGTGGACAAGTTATGTAAAAGGTGCAGGAGATACCTGCCCAGGTGCATGCCAATGATCTCTTTGAATGAGGCACAAGCAATATTTGAACCTTGAAATTCTGTGATCCCAAGCTTAGCTTGTGGGTGATCCACAAGAAAGGCTATAACAAGGATTTTGCCAGCATTCTTCACATGCCTTCTATGTTGCTGCAGGGTTGATGAAGCAGGTTCTATTCACATGTGGAAATTTTCCATTAACAGCAGAACATTTTTCACTTTACAGGAGAAAAGCCATCCTAAAAGCAAATGCTAAACACAGCTCCTTTCTGTTAGCCATGTACACACTTGATCTCAGATATTGTGTAATATGCTCAGTGACAGCCAAAAGTGGAACATTTTTCTTTCAAAGGGGAAGAAACTCCAGAGGAAGAAGATACTCACGACTTGCATTCTCTAAGCGAATTAAGCAGTTCAGAAAATCATCAAATTCAATCTGGAATTGTTTGTCAGAGTATCGGAGGACAATCAGTTGCAGCAGGTAGTTGTTGAGTTGGTATCCTTCCCAAAGACACATGCACAAAAGAAAAGTGAGCAACCTCATAAGCCAGGGAGGAATCTGGAGATCTCTACTAACTAATCATGAAAACCAGTAAATGGGAGGATACTCTGTGGCACACATCCATCCAGAAAGCAATCTGACCACAAAGTCCTTTAAGCTTCAAATGAATAACAAAAACTGAACAAGAAATTTTGCAGTCAATGCAGTTTCTACTCCATGCACTTTTTGATGTATGAGGGACCATTCTGCCTCTTTGAAATTTGGAGGGATTCTGCAAAACTAGGTGCAAAACTTTAACAAAAGTAATCTGTGATGAAATACAAATGCACTGACTGTTCTTCATAAGAAACAGCTTATTCGCTGTTCCTCCAGGCCTTGAGTGGAGATGGACTCTGAAGTGGCTTGTGTCAAGTCTAACCCTGCACTTGTGCAGCCCTGTTGAGTTTAACAGAGCTCAATAAAAATGTGAAGATTCCTCTGATTGACTGCACTGCAAGGTTGGGGATACCTGAGGCAAAATGAGTCCACTCAACATCCTCTCTAGGTGCCCAGGTCTTCTCTGGGGTTTAGACCTCCTCTCTGTTCAGGGGCACCCAGCCTGCATAATTGCTTGCAGCCCTCTTCACCCACAGCTGATCTGCCTGACCAGTTTCCCAGATAAAATGCAGTGCTTGTCTTACCTGCAGCTTTAAGAGCACTGCGAAGCTCATAGGAGGACATGGAGCCAGATTTATCAAAGTCAAATTGAAGAAAGATACTCTGTTATGAAAGGAGTGCACAGAAAGTTCATTATTTGCATATGAAAGGGAGGACAGATATGGCATAGAAAGGCAAGGTGTTTATCTCTAATTATGCAGCATAAGCATTTAAGAAAGCTGACAAGACTTTCGTCTAGTTCTAGTCTGATTTTATAACTGAGGAGCAAATCTGGGTCCCAATTCTCTTTATCATATGAATAAGTTGTTGTGAAACTTAAACAAGTACTGCCAAACCCAAGCATTCAAAAATTAGTTGCTCTTCACAAAAAAAATTCATTATTTTTTAAAAAAGTTATTTTATCTGGGAAGGACTTGTTGTTTGTCTTTTAACTCTTAATGCATTCTCTTAATCTCTTTTTATGTTTTTCTCTGCAATTCTGAAGGCTAGAGACAAATTGTCAAACATGAAGTTAAGACTGTCACTTACTCATTTGCTTCTAGGTATAAAAGATCCAAACAGCCACAATCATCGTACAACCAAGAGAACTGGTACAAATGGTTTGAATTTTGACCTAAATATTAAATAATTATTAAGCTGAAGTTAATTCCATCCTTTTAATGAGATGACAAACACAACCCTCCTTTGGAATATGAATTATTTAGAGCTGTTGTCACATTCAGTTTAGATTTTTCCAGCAAATATATATGAAAACTTCCTACGGGATACAAGGATTTCTCAAGCCCCCTTGTTAAAAAACAGTAAATCCTTTGTTAAAAGAGACGTGGCGTTAGTACCCAGAAGTGTTTGCCACTTCTGATGGGCTAGACAAGAAGCAGAGAACTGCATATTTTGAATGCTTGGGTGAAGCATGAATTCAGAAAAAAAACTATTAATGACAATGAGGAAACAATTATGATGTCTTAATTTGAATATTCAGTCTGTGGCCTGATTCTGCAAGCCTGCTTATTCTTTCTGCCATATACAGTGGCAGGGAAATGTGTTTAAAATTAGAATCAGTGTTTTCCCAGTCTTCAGTACAGTTGACTCTTGAGAAATCAATAATGGAAATGCAGTGACTTAGGAAATTATTGTTTCCTACTAGTCATGAATCATCACTTTCTTCTTCTTTACAACAGCAGTCATGGAAACTCCTTAAGTTTCATTTTGATTGGCTTCCTTATTAGTGCCCGTTGCGTTCTTTATCCCAACCATAGTTGATTTGCTTACAAAAATCTCTGTTATTTCCAGAAAACCATTGTGGTTTAGCATCATGGAAAGCTAAGAATGTCTTCGAACATCCAAAACAAGCCCCCATACTTTTAAAATATTTGTTTTGAATTCAAATTCATGGCTTGTAAACACTCCTGTCTCCATTTTTGTCTGCACATACATAATAAACTATGCAGGAAGTACCTAATGAAATGGAGAAACAAATACAATTAATAATGTCACCTACTATCCATTTCTTCATTTTTTCCCAGAAAACTTTGAACTCATTAAATTCCAGTTTCCCATTGCCATTGGTCTGGTAATTTGAATTAAGGAAAAGGATTTGTTACATGAAAGTCCAAATTCTGTCTGAATTTATCTGCACTGCTCCTTTAAGCAGAAAACATTATGTTGCCCGCAAAGCCTGTGGTGCTGCTGAAACCGGTACTGGGATTTCTCATGAGGTGCAGCTCTGGCAGTTACAGTCATGGCTGTGATTGTGATGCTTGAGGAACATTATGTGATATAAAAACACAGCTGAGCAAAGCAGGCTCCACAGAAGAAAGAAAGACAGATTGTTCTAGGGCAAGAACAGCTTGGGATATAAATGGGGTATAAATGATTCAGAGAATTAAATTACCTGATTAAAACAAATTGCTACTGTACTTGAAGGAGTTAGTCAACCAATGTGCTATTCAGTATTTCTATCTAGTGACCAGGCTCCATTGCAATGGCTCACTCAAAAATTAATGGGAATTGTGAGTTGAGGCTGACAAAATCTGGTCCTCATGGTCTGAAAAAAATATCTGGAAAGCAGCTCTGAGAGGCAGTGACTAGATCTGCCTGGCCTTCCCTCTGCCTCATTATTTTACTGAGTTAGTAATGTCACCCAAGCACAGCTCACTTGCAGGATGGGACACTTGCTCAGAAATGCTAAATAAGGAATGGGCCTATTCCATATCCATCCATCCATTCCCCATCCATCCATCCATTCCCCTTCCCCTTTCCATTTCATGTGCCAGGACAAAGCCCTTGCTTAGATGGCCACTAGCTCAGCGAGCATTCACAAAGGTCAAAACATGCCAAGCAGAGTCTAGCTAATGCCTGCCATTACTTAAGCACCTACACTGGTGACATTACTGAGGGCAGCCATAGATCCCAAGGACTTTATCACTCATACATAAAGTCTGTCTTTTTACCCAGACAGGTTCTTCCTTAGGTCATGTAGAACTTGGCCCCCACCCCGTGCCACTACACAGTGACTGTAGCCAGGGAATTTGGTGGCCTATGACATGGAGTGGACTCAGCCAGCATAGATTCGGGTTTGCATTCATATCCTTTTGCTCTCCCGTTGTTTTCCAAATAACACGTTCATAGTGGGATGGTTGTGTCTGTGCTCCTTGTGCTTCCAAAGCAGAGAAAGAGATGTCTCCCCGTCTATTCAAAACTATGCAGAGTTTTGCTTGGAAGCATTGCAAATCATGGAAACTATTTAGTTATGTCCTAAATAGTAAACTTAGGACTGCTGCCATGCTCCTGGGTCAAGTGCAGACTCTGGCTCTGTCCCAATACCATGTAAGGATGAGATGTGAACATGGACCAGTTCCCTACTGAAGATTGGTTTTCAAGGGAGGAAATTTAGGACTTGGTCCCCTGTTTCTCATTGCATATGCATGGCGACTGATCTGCACTGAATTTTAACATTATGGACATAGCTTTACCAGGATAAAGTTTTGTCTATTTTGGTTTTCTGTTAGAAATGTTTGAGAGGATGTTACCTCTGTCATGGACTGGAGCAACAAAAGCAAAATATAAAAACTTCTCAGCCAGACATAAACCAAGAACAAGCAAGACACAAGCCAAATGTTAGATACTTGCCTTGTCAGGATTGTATCTGTTTTGTCTCACCTGTAACAAAATTGTCTATCAGGAAAGCATATTGCAAAAAACAACTCTACCTGAGGAGAAGCCATGCTAAGCAAACTCAACATGCACCAGAACACTGCAAAGGATGAATTTGGTAGGGAAGTACCAGGGCTGTGATTCATCTCACCTAATGTCTGAGCAGCCATTTAGCATCCCTCACAGTTAGTCACACCCACAACAAGCATAATTACACCATCCTTTTCACTGTCTACAAAGAAAGTCTAGAAAGCTAGGTTAGGTGTAGACACCTACACCACAATTGCCTATATTTGGACAGAAAACTTTTGCCCACATGTCTGCTTCCTGGAGTTCCAGGATCTAGTGGAGAGACCAGATTTTCCAGTTTTTGATCTGGTTGTCAAACACCCCACAGCTTTGATATCAGTAATTTTCAGCATTCTGCTGACTCTTAATTTCTGACCCATAACTTGCATGCACAATTCTTTCTGATTAATTTATCCCTCCAGACAACAGATTTTTCTTGATCTATCTTTTCTAAGCCTTTTTCAAATAAACCACAGCTTGAAAAATGCACTGTTCTATACAGAAGTAATTTGAGATTTACTTTTACAGGTGCCCAGCATTAAAGCATCTCCCTCTAAGTCTGCAGTAGAAAATGGTCTGTCCTGGAGGTCCTAACCCTAAATTTGAAAAATAAAAATCAGAATACAGCTTTCACATGATTTTTTAATTTGGGTAGTGTTCTGACATGACATGACCACACCCCTCTCTGATATCAATGACAGGTAATGCTACAATTATATTCAGTATTCATTTAGCCTCACAAGAACTTATTTGAAAGGATACATCCATAAGAGAAATGATATTTCTGCATGAAATGAGACTTAAGTTCTTGAATTTGATGTTCTTTGCTGAAAAAGGACAATAATAAGAAAGAAGTCATTGGGCAAACCTGTCTTTTGTAAACTGAAAGTAGAAACTAGGATTTCATAAGCAGAGATAGCTGACTCTTAATTCTCATTGTGGGAGAACCTGTGCACTGGAAGATGAAGACTATAGGGAACTCACAGTCCAGACAGAGGAGATATAGACTGAAGACATGACAGGAAATACTGTCCTTGTTTCGTAAACAAGGTTCAGAGAGCGACAGGTTTCCCATTGTACAAAGGGTCTGTAGCAGGGGCATGAACTATGTCCAGGTCTTACAGGTCCCAACGTGCTGCCTGTCTCTCCACAGCAGAGCAGTAGTGCGATGGAGAGCTGGCCTCACTGAGCCGACACGGATCGTGCTGGAGGCAGGGCAAGCCTGTGGTTAGAACATGGACCAGACGTTTTCCTGGTTTTGCCCTGGCTGGGTGGAGGAAGCCAGGCAGGAGTCGTAACACAGCCTTTATTTTTCTATCTGAAAGTGAACTTAATGGCAGTTTTTATAAAGTTCTTTATATTCTTTAATTTAGAGATTATCTGCACTTACTTCTTTTTAATACAGCATTCAGAACATATTCGAGTTCTTCTGCAGCTATCTCCATGTCCTAAAGTTAAAAAAAAAACCAGCATCTGTTACTTGAATGTTTCTGTAACCAGACATACCAAAAACCTCAGAAAACACAAACATCACCCATCTGTACTTTACTGCAACTCAGAAAAAGAGAACCATAAAAAAGCCCAGAGAAGGCTAAAAACTAAAGGGCTGGCAAAATACAGGAGTGTGCTGTGCATAAGGCTATCTGAAGGAGATCTCAAGCAGGAACCATTGATTCAAACAAAAATAAACTATAGCTGAACACTGAACCAGGTAGCCTCCCTCAGAGCTTGAGTTCGAGATTTGGTCCTCCTGCTTGCTCACCAGGGATTGCACCCTTTTCCACCTAAACATAAAGCATGGTGACATCTGGTGCCCAAACAACACACTACAACTAAGCATACTCCTCACAAAACATGATTTTCTTTTCACGTGGCCCTGGGTGGGAATAGAAGTGTCTCCCCTCTTTCTACATCTAGCTATGACCCACAAGGTTTTTTTGCACTCACCTTTCCTGAAATCTGCTCAAACAGTGCCCGGAACTGTTTTTCTTCTTCAGTTTCTTGTGGGCTTGGTGTTGGGTTTGGAGGCTGTAACATCAACCACACAAGTCATTGTAAGAATTGTAAAACTTGACAGTTCTCCTGCACACAGCCCCTCTGTGCATCGGGGGAACCATAATACATCTTAAAATAAGGGTCAGAACCTTGTCAGACCTGAGGCCTCCCCACTGTCTAGCTGCCCAAGGGGGTCTCACCCCCTCATTTCCTTCTCCTGGGCAATTGTGCAGTGTGCCATTGCCTTGACCACCTCAAAAACAAGAGCACCCACCCTGGAAAACACCTCTCCTCTCATCCTACCCCTGCAGCACTCTGCTTCCCCATTCCTTGAACAACCACAGCTCTACCGAGTTCTTTCATCATCCAGGGACCTCTCACTACTCTTCAGACCATCAGCCGGACGTGGCTGCACTTCGGCACATTACCCAGAGCCATCCTGAGCCTGGAAGCACTTTCAGTCAGCTGCTGGCTGAGTGCCTCAGTGCAGTCCCTGGGCTGTAGAGTCCAGGCTTCAGTCTACACTGATGAGCAGAGAGATGCAATAGTGTAGAGCCTCTGCAATAGTTGGGGTGGCCATATGAACAAAGAGGACTTCTTGGGACAAAAAAATGGGGGATAAAAAGGTAACAGTACAGCACAGGAAGCAACGATTTGGGCTTTGTTTTCTCTACCCACAGAAGATACAACATAGGTGCTATTTAGTGTACTGCCACCAGAGCAGCCCTGGTGACACTGCTTGGCCACTTATGCACACTTTTTTTGACTGTGTCTATGTTCCCCACTTCCTTCTGCTCAAGGTTGGATGTAGTCCCTTAATGATACTGGGACAGCTGAACAGATTTACTTTGCTACTGAACATGGCCCCAGGATCCCAGAAATGGAGGCACACTTGTTAGCCGGTCCCTGGAGGAGAGTTTTATTAAAGAGGGACACACAAAATCTCAGCTTAGCTTGTTTCCATGGGAAGGCACACCACAATTAATGTCTTATTTGCAGGGATACACTTAAAAAGGAGCTGACTCAGATGCAGCTGCAATTGGTGCTCAGCAAGCAGACCAGGCCATTCAGAACCAAAAATAATTAATTTAATAATTTCAGTAGGCACACACATGTATTAAGCATTCTTTCCCAAGACCTGCAGATATTGACAAGTAAAATATTAGGATGTAAAATGAATTTAGGTCTGTGGATATTCTCTTACCTCTTATTTTTTAATCATAAATACAATTTTAAAATATGTGTATGGCCATGTGCCTCCCTGGTGCTAACAAGTGTGCTTTCAGCGCACCCATGGTGGCTCATACCCGCCTTTGGTGCTGGCTGACGCCGACTGCCTTGAAGTGGATGCAGAAGCATAACTATTATTATGTTGATTGTTAGAGCTCTTTTACCATATTCAGCAGAACTGACTGTTTCAGTCACATACACAAAGCTGGCAATTGTGTAACATTCCTGTGAAATGAACGTGTTTTAGCCAAAGACAGTAAAAGTAGTGTGTGCCGGCTTCTGCTGAGCTATTCTCTTGCTATTTTAACTCTGTAGACTTACCTCAGGGAGATCAACGGCAACGTTTTCATCTAGATCCCTGGAGAAAACAAAACCTTATTCGGTATTTGAAGGTATTCAACATCTACTTGAGGTGGAAGCTTGCTGTTTACACTTTCTGGAGGTGACTGATAAAACTGCATTTTTTACTGAACAGGTTTAGATAAAATTCATCAGACAATCAGAATTTTGCACTGTTTAAATTTTGGTATAAGCCCCTAAAGCAGACTTTAAGCAGGACTCAGGGAGAGCACAGCTGTGCATGCTGTCTGCTAAAGAATTAATCTCATTCTTTATTCATTGTGCACACACTTTCCCCTCAATACCCTTTTTCAATATAAAATTGTCATTTGGACAGACTTCGGGAGGAAACAAACAGGAAACAAACACTGTTGCATTCACAGATTCCCGAACCATACCTCTTCCCTGTCAAGCTTCCAGCAGATTCACCATGGCAAGCCCTATTTCCCCACCTCCTAAAGTCCTCTCCAAAAAAATGTCGGTTTTAGGAAAAATAGGCATATGCAAAAAAAAAAAAAAAAGCTTTCCATGCCAAGGATCTGGGTGGGTGGGGTGCCCAGCAGCCAGACTCTCCCCAGTAGCCACTGGCCCCATGCACAGGCGAGCACCAGAGGGTTTGGGGCTCAATGCTGACTTACTCAGTGATGGCCTTCTTCTCAGAGAAAATCCTCAGGCAGAAATCTGCCTCCTGGTGAGGCTCAAATGTGGTTGGAACAAGAATGTAATCGCCCGGCGGCAGCTTGAAGCGGTTAGATACTTCCCTTAAATTAATGTAGGTTTTGCTCCTGGCCTTGGAGGGATGGTACCTGAAGAAGTCTTTGCCCAAGTGTCCGTCTCTGCCGGGGCTCTAGGAGGGGAAATGAAGGCAGCGTGCACTGGTTGGGGTGTGCTGGGGGCTGTGCTTGCCCCTTTCCCAAACAAAAAGCCAAACTCTGCCTGGAACAAGCCTCTCCCCTGGCTATAAACCCAACTCTCGTCCATTCACCTAGGTACTCACAGCAACCTACCTCCCACCTTATGGCAAGGACCCATTACCAGTGGTCCTTTCCCACCCAGAAGGCAACCTAAGAGGACTCTGGGACATTGTCTTCCTGCTTCAACATTCCCTGCCATTAAATATCACCATCACAGTTGGGGTGTCAAAGAGCAGTGACAACAGATTTGCCAATCCCAATCTCACTCAGAAACAGACCCTTCCGTGTGTGATGCACCCCAAGAGGCTCATAAGAAGCAACATCACCTCTCTAGGAGCCAGGCAGGACATGACAGAATCATGGGGCCAAGGAGTCTATGCTGGGAACCCACAGCCCCACAGGGACTCCTAAATCATTCTATGAGAGAACTCAATCCCAACCACGCCAAAATTCTCTATGAGGCTTGATGTAACTGAGAAGACTATTTTAAGAGCGAGGATCCTAAAAATACATGATGACTGGCAGGGCTACAAACCCAGAGAAAGATGCTAATACTGATAGTGCAGCTACTGCTCTGTAAAAGCAGTAGAGTACCTCATAAATCGAGTAGCCGATGGTTAGCATCTCAGCGCCAAGCTTCTTGAGTTTACGGCGGTCCTTTTGCATGAGTGCTGCTATGAATGTGCAGTCATCTTGTCCATCGTCTTTCTCTGTCAAATGTAGCGTGATTTGTGGATTTGTCCAGAAAGTCTCTGCCAATGTAAAGAACACCAGAGAGTTTCTTGCCTCAGAATAATACCACTACTACCACTATTGAAAACAAACAAAAAAAGTAGACAAAAAGGGCAATTAAGCTGAGGTTTTGCTCAAATTTAGTTTTTCCATTAGCAGTCATGCTTCTTTCCACAAAGCTCTGCAGAATATAAGCCAAATCCCAAAGTCCTTGATGGAAATAGGTGTAGAAAAGATTTTGGGCCTGATATTTTATTAAGTTAACATGGTTTAAATAAAGTTGTCAGATGGGATTTTATTAAAACTACATAGCTACAGTGATCCTATAGTGCTGGTGCCAGTCTGGAGAAACATAGTTCAGATCCATGCTGCTTCTTCAGAGCCACATAAATATGCTGGCTGAGCTGGATTTTTGTCTCATTTTACACTTACTGCTGCAGTTTAAGTGACTTATTTGGAGCTAGTCCTGCTCATGCAAATGTAAATGATAGGCAAATCAGATCCAAAGAACTTGAGAGCAAAGAAAGCATTTCTTTTACTGCAAAGTCTCAAGTGGGACTGTATGAACTTTTGTCCCTTTGGATAGTTCCTGCTAGCTGAAACTCAGCTGGACTGGCCTGCACACGCAATTCTGGCTATGGGTTAACAGGAGAGGTGGCTGAGGGTGGGTAAAGACTTCAGTGCCTGCTTCTCATTTTCAAACCAGTATCTACTTACCTAGAAAGTTTCTACATCCTCCTGCAGTGGATCCCCTGACCCAGCTCCCCTGGTGGATGGTCACCTCCCACTTGTGGGCAGTGCTGTCTTCCAGGGCATCTGGAGTCAGGTTGCAGATCTCAACTTTATCAAAATGCACTTTGAAGTCTTCAAATTTCATCCTGAGTGAAAGACACAGGGAGGAACAGGCGGTCATTCACATCAGTGAAGGATGCCCAATAGAAGTACTTACTCCCCAGAGACCCAGGGCCAGATTGCATGGATCTGAATAGTTTCAGTGACCATGGAGATATGCTGGTGTACACCAGGGGAGAAGATATCTCTCTCACTGTGGTGTAAAACACAAGCAACTTTATCACCTGGGTCTGATTCTGAATCTCTTCCACCTTTCTTTTTACACTGTAACTCAATTGATTTTATTCAGTTACAGTTGAGTAGAAGATGAAAAGAAGTGACACTGGTACAAAATCTGTGGTGGAAAGAGTTATTTCACCAACACCATCACCTTAAAGGCAGCATCTACATTGCCAAAGAGCCAATCAAAGCATGGCAGGCACCCGTGTAGGAGCTAAGTCTGCCTACCAATCAGCTGGGTGTTCAATGCCAGCCACTTGACAGCACTACAAGGGACACATGGTGATGGATTAGTCAAGTCATGGTATGATCAGACTGTCTGCACTGCAGTTAAAGTCACATTTGGGCTTCTGCTATGGTGCCTAGGCTCAAGATGCTCACCTTCCCCTTGTTTATGGGTCCCTGGTACCTTGTCCTAGCAAAAACATACACCAAACACGAGAGAAAAAAATTTGTTTGGATTTGAGTAGCAGCCCCAACCTGCCCTTGGAGGTGGTATAGTCGCTGCTGTCTGCTACTGTGTCATGTAGCTTGCACTACATATATTTTATACCTAAGGCGGACACATATACATGGCCATGGGAAGGAGGAAGCAAATACCACAATACGGAGGTTTTTTGAGTTGCTAGGTTGGGCTGGTTGAAACTAGCCTGCTCAGCATGCTGAGAAGAAGATAAGCTATGTGATTTTATCTAGCAAGTAAAAGGGCAAAAAAATACCAACAATCTTGCTGGCCAAGGAGCCTGGTGTTCATGTCTGAGCAAACAGCCAAGAGAAGGGACAGTCAGAATCAGGCACCACTGGGCATGGTGGGCAGCCCTGGGCAAAAGGAACAGAGCAGGGAAGCTGTCTAGGAGACAGCAGCTTGCATGGTGGGCTCTGGAAGGACAGGAGGCCCATATGCTCAAAGACTGAGGGTAGCCTTGGTAGGCTGAACTTCCCTCTGTAAAAGGAGGAAGGTATTAGGCCTTCCTGAGGGCAATTTAGCAATTCAGAGCAGACGACACACCTGAATGCTATCTAGAAGAACCCCTCTCTCTCTATGGACCATAGAGATAACATATAGAAATTGATCTCCTCCCTAACACAAACTTCTATAACTATTCTTTTCCTCCAGTGGTTGCAACAAAATGGAGTAGAAGGAGAGCAAAAGCTCTCCCAGACTGCATGTTTAGCCTGGTAGTGGCAGATAGGATCCACTAGCCCTCAGTATAGCTCACAAAACACAATTATCCCCATTTTTCTCCTGTATAACAAAGAGATGTCTGTGGTGGTATTAATTTACACTTGCTATGGGCCATTTTACAACTTGTTTTTAGTGTGGGAAGAAACAGCAGGTTTGCTTTCCTAAACTCTGTCCTCTTTCTTGTCAGCTATTCCCATGTATTGCTACTCGCAGGCACTGCTAATTCTCACTTTGATGCTCAGCACACTAGAGCAGAGGCAGCATTGCAAAATCTGCCTCTAAAAGGCTCAGTTTCCTGGCCACACTATGAAATTTTGGGCTCTTTGGAAACATTCTGCAAAGCAGATGAAGGAGTTGCAATTTGTAGATCAGATTTGGCTCCTAAGATGTAAAACACCTATTCTGACTTTCCTGGGGCTGTCCTGGGTTTGTACTGGTGAAGGGAAGACTCTGACCCTCTGATTTTAGGAGGAAAGGGACTAGGGTGAGTGAGAAGCTGATTTCTTAGCCAACAGCAGAATGCTTTCTTTGCATCTAGTAGAATCATCTGGACAAGATCCATCTGAACTGCTAATATGTAGCCAAAATATCTTTGGGGTAATTAATGAGGTCAGCAGGCCCTCAGCATTTTACCATGAAGATTTTCTTCAGTCCTTATAAATCCAAATAATAAAAGGGACAAAAGGTCTTATCAGACCACATTCCCCACCTTGGCTGCCTTATCCCATGTAGTCCTCTACAGCTGTGCTGCCTTTTTGTATTGACTGAAGACACTGATGATACGACACTTACCTTGCTTTAAATGTTCCATAGTTTTTGATCTAATTTCCCTCACTGCACTACCCTTCCTCCTAGCCTTCCTGTTCCACCTAGGGTGAATTCTAACACAATACATGAGAATAAGCAGGTATATTTCTTCTTCCTCTTCTTCTCTTTCTTTTAACAGAAATGAGCCTGGGTAGGAGAAATGACCATTGCTTTGTGTGCTGTCAGCATGTGGAGTAAGTTGGGTTCGAAACATGCAGTGCAGTTAGAGAAGTTGTTCAGGAGTACATAGTAGGTTTCCTGGGATCCCTTTCAGCTTCCAGACAAATTAAGAAATTATGTACAAAGAGCTTGCTGACTGCAAAACTTACTATTAAGTCCACTTCAGTAGAAACCAGTTGTAGTCAACAACGAGAAGATCCCCATTGCACCTAACGTTATTTGCTAAGCCTAAAGATAATGCTTGTCATGGAGAACATGTTCTGAACTCTTGAGGATCTAATTACTTTGCTAATCAGTATTTCTAGCAGCAGGTTTCAAAGCACCTAAAGATTACCCCAGCTTTCCAGAGAGGCAAGCCAAGTCACCACCTCAGCTGCAGAAGCATGAATATAGCTCATTCACCACCTCCTCAGCTAAACTGCATCAACAAGAACCACAGCAGGAGCAAACTGAAAGCTGGAGAGAAGCAGTTATGTTCATCTGTTTCCTCATCTGACCATCTTAATGCCTTTAGGGATACATCACACTATTGCTTATGCAAAATCTGTATGTGAAACCTGATGGGGAAACCATCAAGGTGTGGCTTAGAGGGGGCAAGGAGACAAACACTCCTTAGAGGAATACACAGAAGTAAAAAGACATTTGTAAAAATAAGTCAGATGGACTGGGTGGAGGGTTTAGCTAATATCAAACTTGCCTGACTGGTTTTGGAAGCATTTCTTATCTTCTGCATATGATTTTTGTCCACTTAACCCATTCAGTGGAAATTTCAGTCCAAATGGCTTTTGCCTCTGCTCTGGAACTAGATGATCTTTGAGGTCCCTTCCAATCCAAACCATTCTATGATTCTATGATTCTATGAACGTCTGAGGTGCTGGATGAGGAAGGCCAACATTTGTCTGAGTGTGCTCAACCTCATTAATTTTTATTTGTCTTCTGAGGGCTTACTTAACTATCAGCTTAGCTCTGTTTTTAATGAGTTTCATTGCTCATTTGATGCCTACTTGCATACTTGTACCTCCATTACGCAGTCAGGCTTTAAGTTATGCCATGTATCGAGAGACTTGCTGGAGTTATTTGGGTTCCAGGTAAAGCCTTTGCCTCCTTTTCATTCACTCCATAAGCTCCAGCTGTAGTCAGGTCAAAATCAGACAAAAACACCCCAGAAAAGGTTTTTGGAAAAACTGAAAATGCCCTACTGCATTTGCAATGTCAATAGCAAAATAACTCAAAATATCCCTTGTAAATATACTTAAGTAATGCGTCAGTCACTGGACCTACTTCCCTCTAGAGCTATCAAAGTTTGGGTTAAATCATTTTATGTGACTTAACGTGCTTCGTTGTCTATCTCAAATCACTTTTCAGGCCTAAAGCTGAACTGTGGCTTAACTTGCAGGAAAAATCTGGAATAGCCCCTCTGCAAACCTCTCTTGATTGACCTCTGTGTAACAAAGATGAGCACCTGGCCCCAGAAAATGTGACCCGACACATTGTCAGTACTGCACAGCATGGGTGATATGGGGGGGATCATGTGCAAGTCAGCCATCTGCTCTGTCTGAGATCATGAATTTGGCATGAAGAACACTTCACATTTTAAAGCAATTTCCACCACGGTTTTTTTTTTTTCCATTTCGTTTCAGCTTTTCTTTAAAATTCCCATAATTTCACACATATCTTGGTGTTCTTTTACTTTCTGTAACAAGTATTATTGCTTCTCTGGACTCCCTTCTCTTCCAGTCTATGCCTAGCATCAGCCCTGAAGGCATTTCAGTGCAATGCAATGCTCCCTTCTGTAGAGCCTGCCTTTGTTCATGGCAAGGATTTAAAGGGTGCTGCATTCATGGGAGACATACAGTATTTGAAATATGCTAATACCATTAACTAAGCTGACTTTTAAAATGCTTTTTGTTATTAAAATAGACATAGGCACACATGAAACACACAGAAAACAAAGTGAGCATTCTACCTGCTCTGTCCTTGGCAGAAACTGAACATTTCCTTACAGAGACTTCTTCCTTATTGCTCATTTTGGCCACTTGCACCTTGATTTCTGACTAGAGCCACACACTTTAAAAACCTGTGGCTTACCAGAACTCTCCATCATCCAGTGCTGCCTGAGACAGGCGTCTCTGCTCCAACGTGCTGACTGAACGCCACTCCGGAGAGCTGCAAGAAAACAAAAACAAGCTTTACTACTGGTACGTGGCAATTAATTTTCCCTGCCTCAGAAGGGCTGACTGGACAAAGCAGCAGGCTGTTCTTCTTCCAGATGGGTTTTGTTTGAGCAGCTCACACTAACACAGATGCATTGAAGAGGTTTCCTGAATTCTGTTGTCACTCATAGTTGCAGAGACTCAACTAATGTAGCTGGAAGCAGAACCAGGCCAAAGATCCCAAAGCCACTCCAGGATGGTCCTGTGTGAGTTATTGCCTGCAGCCAGATTTGGGACTGCTGTCAGGTATTGTGGTTGGGTATAATAGGGCTATTGGTAAACCACAGGATTTTGGTAAGTCACATCCCTCCTTAAATCTGTTTTCCATGTGCAGCACCATCTCCTCTTTTATGTATGTCACTAATTTAGGGCCAGATGTTTCTTCAAAATTGAGTCAATGGGAACTGAACAGGCTCCTTCCTCTGCACAGAGAGATTTGCTGGAGTAACTGTGGTTCCAGGAAAAGTCTTTGCCTCCTTTTCATTCACCTCTACAACTTCAGCTGTAGCAGGTCACAACCAAACAAAAACCTGCTAAAGCTTTTTGGAAAAAAACTGGAAATGCCCTGCTGCATTTCCAATCTGACATAATAAACAGGGAGTAGCAGGCAGCTTGTGTTCAGGTTTTTTATTCCAGCAACCACTGCAAAACTTTAATACAGATTCCTGTATTGATCTGTGAGCCCCTCTGCATCTTGAGTTCCAGAAATCCTCCCAAGTGCAGATTCAGAGGGCTGCTTTGCAGGGACAGCGTTTCAACAAACAGCATGAATAGCCAGATGCCTGTCCTGATCTTTTTTTTTTTTTTTGAGATGTAATCACTCATTATATGTGCCAATTATCCATACTTTTCTTCTTCTAGATAACAAAGGATCAGAGCTGATGTGGAAATATTTCATTTATGTCTGAGTCATGTTAAGGACAGGGACATGCAAAGTAGTCCTACGGGTGACTGTGTCTCAGCAATATTAAAGGGCCAGGCAGGTTATGGCTCTTCTCCTCTATATCTGTGTGAATAAAAATAACTTAGTATAAGAAGGTGAAACAAAAACAAAGCAATGCATATGTGCAAAAATATATTAAAAAGTGTATGTTGGGAGGGAATGTAGTGTTGTTTTTTACTATAGATTTTTTAAATTTTGTATTATGTGCACTTTGTTTACCTTTGGTAGTAAAACCAGACTGGTTCTCAGACCAATCCGGTTGTGATTTTGGGTCCTTCCACAACTTTGGTGGGTACCACATACAGAGGGTCTCATTTAATGGTCATATATGACCTGTAAGTTTCCTGAGTATTTCTGATGTGTTTAGAAAACCAGAAGAGTAAATGCATCTAGAGACTCATAAGCTACTTAGAGGAGAAAATACAGAATCAGTCTCCAGCTTATCTGCAGTGGGACAGAGCATGGATGTTAAAGTACTACAGCAACAGACTTGCAAAAAATAAACAAAAAATCACTTCAAATGTATAATTTTTCCAATCAGGAGTGACTTAAAATTAACTTATCCCATTTATATTAATGCTATTTATATTCTGCTAATAGAGATTTTGGGGGCTAAACAACCTTGACAGTGTTCCCATAATTGAGCAGCTTTGAAAATACTGAAGGTGACATGTTAGTATGGCAGTAATACTGCTACGTATGTGCAAACTCTTGATTTAATTTTCTGTGGAATAGCTGGGGCTGCAGAAAGCCAGCTGTGGAGCAGCAGCTGGGATTTGGCCTTTGTGAGGCCAGCACGTCTGGGACAGCGCACGCACTTGTCACTCCAAGGGCCATTCCACTCGACCTGTCCCCAGGGGTTCCTTATCCTTATGAGCTGCACTTGCCGGCCCCGATAGCTCACCTGGGGAAGATGGAAATAGAGAAAATACCAAATGTCAGTATCTCAGGAGCAGGACTCCTCCAGTGTGCAGAGGCTGGGCAAGCTGGTGTAACAGCTGGGCAAAAGGTGTAGACTGCTACAGGAGATATGGGAGGGAAAGATGGATGGGAATTTGGATAACTTCCCCGGGATAACTCCCTCTGTCACCTGAGGTCAGAGGGACACTCCCTTATCTTTACCCCAGGTCTATCCTTGCCCCGCGCTGCTGAACATACCTCATCGATGCCAGTCACAGAGTAAGCATGGCCCTTTATAAGGCCAAAGGGGGTTTTGGCTTCTGACTGGGCAGCACTGCTGATCTGAAATACAGGGGGAAGAAATGTGAATCTCTCTTCAGAGTGAGATCATAAGTAGTGCCACCTGCTCCCTTGCAAGCATCAGGTGGGACATCAGTACTATGAACTTGTCTGTTTGCTCAATGCAAACAGTGATGCAATGGTACCCTTTGAGGAAAGG